GCTGTACTTCGACAGGGCCCTACAAACCAGGAGGCTCTGTGTGCAGCGCTTAGGAAAGGTCTGCAAATGGCTCGGCAGCCAAAGAGAGGTGATATAGTCTCCCTTTTCCTTACAAAACCTGACTTCCTCACATTCAGTATGAGGGCTCTGTGTGGACTAAACTTACTCTGTGGTATGTGTGTGTGGGGACTTTCAGGAATAGCACATCTCACCCAAGAAGCCACTGGGGCAGGGCAGGTACCAGGCCCAGCAGCCCGAGCCCTATACCTGAAGGGTCTACAATCAGACCTGTCTGGCCCAAAGTAGAAGCACAGCTCTCTAGACGGGAAGCCAAGTGGAGGCCCGTGGGTGAGGACAGCCAAGACCAAACCATGGCTAATGCCTGCCACCAACTGCCCTGACACCTCTCTGGCAAAGCTGCAAATCCTCACTCTGCTTCTACAAGGGTGCTTGCTAGTTCACTCCCCAGATGGGAAACCGGGAGATGTTAACAGAAGGGCACACCAAGTGCCCCTGGACAGCAGTGCCCACCACCTTGGTCTGATGAACTGTCAGGGTGAGCAAGGTAGCCAAGGCCTGAGGAAGACCGGTCAGAGGCTCCTGGAGGAGTCGTGTGAAATAAGCCCTGAATGAGGAACGAGAAGGTGGAAGCCACATGAAAAGCCAGGGGGCAGGACGGCAAGCTGAGGGCACAAGCGGGAAAATCTGAGGTGAGGGGGAATCTTGTAGGTGTAAACCCCACGAGGACACAGAGCTGGCTACTTTGGGGAGCCTCAGCCCTCAGGCTGTGGTAGATGCCTTAGACTTTCCCGCAAAAGCCCTGAGAGGTTCAATGAGGCGAGACATGTGATCTGACCCAAGCTCCTACAGAGCCCTTTCACTGCTTTGTGACTGTGGGTGAAGGTATGGGTCAGGGAGGAGAGGGAGGCGAGGGGACCCTGGAGGAGACATCTGCTCGCATCTAAGAGAAAGCAACCGTGAGGATACTTGGTGGGTGATATGACAAGGTGAAGAACAGGAAGGTCTGGGCTGTATCTGGAGAAACATCCCCGAGCCACACTCCTGTCCAGAGGGAGGCCACAGTGCATGCTGGGGCCATTCTTCATCTTCCTCTGCTGAACAACAAGCCGCTCACTGGAATCCCTGACAGCCCATGATGGGGCCGGCTCTGCTTAGGACACCCATAGCTGGGCCTTCTAAAATAGATGGGCATGCCCAGGGATAACCCTGCTTATTATCATGTGGCATCCTGGTGCCATATCTAAACTCCCCCTAAAAAGCTTCACTATGCCCTAACTGGTGCCCTACCACCATTAAGACTTGGAGCAAACCCTCTCTGTGGGGAAGGCTGATACTCACCCAGCTCTGACAGGAAGCCCGCTGGGCAACAGGACTTCCCTCCTTGGCTCCCCCAAGTCCTGCCTAACCCCTCACCCTAGCCCTCCGAAAGTTTACCGCATAGTTTTCAGCCTGGACCTCAACCCAGGAACAGAGGAAAGCTCAATGGACAGGGGCCCAAGCATGAGTCCTATGTCATCCTTCTCCAAACTAGAACTGCTATTGGACCCACTGGATAAATACATGTACAAGTACCAGAGAGCTGTGGGGACTGGGGGCAGGGAAATGTGGCCTCTGCCAAGGCCAAAGCCTCAGCTTAAAAAAGAAAAAGAAAAAGAAAAAAGAAAAGGTTGAGCCATAACCCTCACACCATAAAATGCACCACTTTCAAGTGTCTAATTCCGTGGCTTTAGTAGCTAGGTAAGGTTGTACAACGGTCATCACAACCTCATTCTACAACACACTCATCACCCCCCTCCCCAAAAGAAACCCCACAGCCACTAGCAGTCAGCCCTAGTTCTCAACTACCTGCAACCCCTGACAACCACTGAACTGTGCTGCCTATCACCCACATGGCGAAAGGCTTTCCAGGCCGCAGGCTTCAACATGAACCCACAGAAGGGGCCAAAGACTCATGTCGTCTCTGTCCTGTTTGGGATAGCACTGGCACGCAAAGCCACTTGCCGGAGTCTCCCTAAAGGATGATACCTTGGGTCCGACAGCACCAACTCTCACAACCCAGCCAAGCCCAGCAGCTTACTCCTTCCCTACCCCAACTCTGTTCCGAGTCTCAAGTCAGAGGAAATAAGATAAAACAAACAAACAAACACACGCACACCACAAACCAAGCAGGATGTGCTGTGAAGCATGACAGAAAAACCCGAGTTTGAACCCTGGGACACACATGGTGCAGGGAGAAAAACAACTCCCGCAGATGGTTCTGTGACACCCCCACACATGCACGCACATGCAGCAGCATGCACGAGCGCACACTCATCCATAAACGCACAAACAAAAACCTCGCACACTCACGGCCTCTGCTCTAGGCCACGCTAACTGCCTGCAAGACTTCGGAAGATACCCCACCAACACCTGCGGCCAATTTGCCAGGGAAGGTGAAAAGGAAACCAAATACCAAAAAAGCTACTGGGGCAGGGGCTGAGAGTCTGGGTTCCATGGCAGCTGGCTGTTGAGTCAGGCTCACTGCTCTGGGCAAGGCTGGAGGTAGCCTGTGTAGATGTCTCTGATGGGGTAGTCACGCGGGCATCCCAGTAGCATATGGGCAGGGAAGGTCCCTGGAGCAGACCTTCCCTGGTACCTAGGGAAGCCTACGCATTGGTCTTGGGCATCTCAGCGTAACTACTGAGCTTCTCTATACCCCCGGAAAATGCTGGGCAAAGAGAAAGGAGGCCTATATCCAGGCCCAGTCGGCGGGGCATGAGCCGCACACTGTCTGTCTTCCTATAGAGGAGTGTGGGAAAGAATCAGCTTTGGCAAAAGACTCCCTGCCCCCAGGGTCCCTGCAAGGCACTCCTTACCTGTTAAAGAGAATGAGGGTGTCTTTCCCAGTCAGGGGGACAGATGTGCTCCCCAAACACAGAACGACCAACTTTGCTTTGTAAAACCAAACTATCCATGAATCCCCAGCACAGTTCTTCGTGGGTTGCAGGCTGCGTTGACTTTTTATGACTTTTATGTGTTGTGTTCGGTCGGGTTTGTTAAAGAGACTCTCTTGGGCCAGGAAGATGGCACGGCAGCTAAAAACACGTGTGCAAATTCGGAGAACGGACCCGGGCTCCCTTCTCAGAACCCACGCCACAGTGGAGAGCACAGACTTCAGTTATCCTCTGAGTGTCCATGTCCTCCTATACATCACCCCCAACCCCCCCCCCCCCCCGGCTCTGTTTCTAGCCCTGCTCAGCAGCTGATGCTGCAGAGCCAGGAAAGTCAGTATAGTTAGCAGAAGGCAGTGGTGAGGCGAGGGCAGTGGCTGAGGGGGAGGGTAGGGGAACAGGGACACATAGCTAGCTATCCACCTGTGGCAGCTTGCGGAGGACGCCAAAGCAAAAACACACACAGCCCGGGGCAGGCTGAGTGGTGCTCGTCCTGACGCTGGGAACCCACCATTCTCCTACTTTTGTATCTCTCCAAGTCACCCTTACCCTGAGGCTGGATACTGCCCCCCCCCCCCCCCCCCAGTTCTAGGCATCTCCTATCCCTGGCTCAATCTATGAGCAAACCTCTAACCCACACTGCCCTTTCCCTGTGTTGCTGTGCAGCCCTGAAAGTCCCAAGGTTCTGGGGGCTCTGCCTTTTGTCGAGTCATGGTTGCCACAGTGAACCTAGTTCCAGCCCAAACAATGCTTGCCAGTGATTTCAAAGTGGTAGGTGATGCCAACTGGCCCCCAGATCAATGGCTTTACACCCATTAGAGGACTTTAAAAGGTTATCTTTGTTAAGCACTGCTTGTACATAGCACAAAGTCTCTATCTAGGGCAAGTGGCAACTGTCAAGCAGTAGTGTCGGGAGCCAGCCACCTCTTCACATACAGGAGAAGCACCTCATATGCCAAGCCATCCCAGAGCAGAAAGGCAGGCAGACCAAACAGTTGACACGCACAGCTTCCTGGTGAAGAACGGGAGTCCATTTCTGGAGTCTACCAGGCTTCCCCCTGTTAAGTAGCCCAGACTCCCCTCCCCACCCTCCTAACAGGGAACCTTAGCCAAAGCTTGTTTCTGGAGAATAGCCTGCATCTCTCTTCTCGCCTGCCACTAGGTTCAATAGGGGCCGCTTTCAGAACCACCGTTCTTGGAATCACCCACAGTCTTCAGGGTGGCCCCTGCCACTTCGCCATCCTAACCTCTAGCCCGGGGTCTCAACCTGCACCGGGCTTATGGCTATACCCAACAGGCCTCCATGCTTTCCGTACACCCTAATTCCCAGCTGAGGACAGCCTGGGATCCTTGTAGGAACTTTTCAAAAGTAGGGCTTCCATGCTACCCAGCTCAGAACCAGCTCCTCACACTTTACCAGCAGCCAAGGGCCACAGGCCTGGCTCACGAGGAGCACAGCCATGTCACCAGGCTGACATCAGCTAATTCATGTAGCTGACCCCTAACCACAGAGCACACTTAGCAAACCCTTCCTGGTGTGTGAGACAAGACCAGCCTGATCAAAACTCATACCGTGCGGCAAGCGTCTCTGGCAAGGCTTAGGCATTGCTGGCATGGGAGCATAGCTCCTGAGGCACAACTAGGAAGTGGAAGAGATTCAGGCTCTTACCCGTTCTCCTCACACCCGAGCTCCCTTGCTTCTCTGGAGAAAGCTAACCACAGAGCTCTTGCTCAGAGTGTGCACATCACGCTAGGGCAGGGCAGGGGCTCAGCTCAGAGGTTTGGTGACTTCCACCCACAACCCCAGCTCCATCCAACAAAGGCACCTGCTTGAGCAAGTTGGGAAGACAAAGGCCAACCGCGGAAAGAGCGGAGCCCAGGTATTCCTCCTTCAGTTTTCCCTTTGGGTCAGACTCCACTGGGTGTGAACTGGGTAAGAGCATCTAGGAATTCGCATCTGGCAGAGAAGTCCCTTTTTGTCCAAGCTTCACCTGAATAGGCAAGGAGGTGGCCAGCCCATGACAGGGCCTGACTGCTGGGGTCACTTACCAGCGGGGCTTGAGGCTGGGGATGCTGCCCGGGTCCCGAGGCCGGCGGGTAGTGCATGAGCAGATTGAAGGCGGAGTAGACAGTCTCTTTGTACATGCCACTGGCACACTCCGGGGCCTTCAGGCCTGGAAAAACCACAGCTGGGTGAGACACCAACCCGGCCAGCTGCTCCTAAGGGCTGAGGGCTCTCTGATCCGGAGAGAGACAAAAATACTGCCAAGGGGTCCTCTTCAAGTTCGTGACTTGACAGAGACCAGGGACCTTCGAATGGGTGGGAATATCCCCAAGTTGTGGGGGTAAGACCCAGAGCCCAGGCCTCCACTCAGCGGCTAGACTCCCCACCGCGCCCTCCTGCCTGGGAACCTTAGCCAAGGCTTGCTCCTCAGGGCGAAGAATTAGTCAATCACCTGGGCTGGAGGGGAGGCGGAGATGGCGGGGGTCTGTTTACTCATATAAAGGTCAGGGCACCGGAAGTGACTCCAGCTCAGCGGCGCCCAGGAAACCCGCCCCCCCACTCCCCCACCCCAGGTTCTAGCGTCTTCCCCGGCGGCTCAGAACTCACCGTCTTCCAGGGACTCTGGAAGTTTGTCCGAGAAAAGTCTCTGCGAAGTGTGCTCTCGGCCCAGGGCCTGCGGAGAGAAGCAGAGAGGCCGTGAGGGGCAGAGGGGACACGAGGGGCTTCAGAGATGGGACACCACACGGGGGGAGGGTGTGGGCACGGGGATGGGGGGGCGGGTCCGCACGATCCCAACTCGGGACGAGGCTCCCCGGGGAGGAGCGGGCCGGGCTCACCTCGGGCGCCCCCTCGGCCTCTCCATGTACCCGGACGCCGGGACCCGGGACCCCGGCGCCTGCGGCCGCGCCTTCGGACTCATTCACCAGTGAGGACTTGAGCTCCGCCAGGTCCCGCTCGGGGCCCGCGGAGCTGTCGCGGTTCTTGTCGTCCTGTTCCTCGCCTTCGTCCTGGAAGGCCAGCAGCTCGTCGGGCGCGCCGAGGTCGTCGCCTGCTCCCGCACCGCCCCCGCCGGAGTCCAGCTGCGGCATGGTGCGCTGCGCCCGCCGGGGCGCCGGGTGAGGGGCGCAGAGCCGGCCTGGGAGGCGGCGAGCCCAGGGTGCGGAGCTCCGAGCCCGGAGCGCGGCGGGCGGAGCGCGCGCTGACTCCGCCTGAGCGGCCAGTGGGCGCGGGGCGAGGGCGCGGGGCACAGCCGCTCCGGGAGCTGGCGGGTCGGAACATCAAAGGCGCCGCGGGCAGAGTGCCGGGGGCGGAGCGGGCGCCGGGGCGGGGCCGCGGTGGGCGGGGCGCGCTCAGACCCCGCCCCTGCTCTCCCTGGAGAGACCGGGACGGGCCCACTGGGCATAGTCTTAAAGGGCTCGCTCTCCTCGAGCCAGTCCCATCTCCAGCCTGAAATCCATCGCTCAACTGTGGAACTCCCGTTTCCTTACCTACAAGACAGCCACAACTTGCGCCCAACTTCCTCCTCCAACTGCGGAGAATGGGGTTCCTTAGAGCCGTGGGACGTGTGGGTGTTTTGGAACGTTGGCGTGACAGCATCCTTGGCCTGAGCTGGAGCTGCTAGAGGAGGGACCATGGCACACACAGACGCACACACCTGCCCCTTTCACCATCCCCCGCCGGCCATATTCCAGACCCCCTGCTCACAGAAGCACAAGCGTTCGCTCCCTTACATCTTTATCGAGCGAGCGCCTGCCTGTTGCATGTGCAACTCAAACACGGCAAATAGATGACATGTGGCGGCCCCGAGGCGAGGAAAAACCATAAGCCACTCACGTGGGTTCTCCAGCGCTCCATGACTTTCCCAACTAAGTTCGACGTCTAGAACCTGCTGTCCAAGAATTGAGACTTTCTGGGCGGCCACGTGGGCCATGGAATATGATCTTGGGGTCTTTAGGCAGTACTCCATCTGGGAAGTGACATCCAGGGCCCACTGACCCTGACTGTACCTAGGGCCTCTTCTTCAGGGGCATCTCCTTGGCACCCAGGGGCCGTACCCACGCTTGCGGCCTTGACTGGCTACAACTAGGCCAATTGGATAGTGACACAGTAAGCTGAAGACGCGCACACCTCCGTCCCAAGCACGTGTGGATCGACCCTTCCACCTCTTTCGAGAGCAGCTGGAACAGTGGCTAATTTGTGGAGGAGGACCCTGGCCGCCTCTCCGAGTCCGGGCCCCACAGGACCCCTGGCAGCGGCGCAAAGCCGGCCGGAAGACAGCCGCACCGCCCCTCCCGGTCCAGGCCCAGCCTGCCTGGCCGAGGATCAAAGAGACAGGGCCTTGCTTCTCAGCTCTGAGATCCTATCAGCGCCCTGCCAGCGGGGCTTCTGGGTCCTCCAGCTCCGGGCTGAGATACCCATTCCTCCCTCCCCCTTCCCAGCTCTGGGGGACTTGGCCATTAGTGCTCAGCTTGGCAATAGAGATGCGGTGCAGACCCCGCCCTTGGCGCCTCTCGAGTCTTCCTCCCCACAGGTGCCAGCTTGCCGCTGGTTTTGACCCCATCCTCTCTGGATTGGGGGCAGGGCAGGGGTTCCAACGGAGAGCTCTACAGGAGAGGAAAGGCCCGGGATGGAGGCCTCCCTCACATCAACTCCGAGGCTGTGGGCAAAGCTTTGGCGGGGAGCACCTCTTTGAGAAAGTTGCACGGGAATCGAGATCGTCTTGAGTCTAGGCACTGCAGATCCTCCTGTGTTTATGAGCCACTCCAGTTTAGGCAAAGTCGCTTCCATAATGGTTGGCAGACCATGAGGTCCCAACTGCCACAGGCCATTGGGGGGGGGGTGTCGAAGTTCCCTGAAGAAAAGTCAGGGAAGGGGAGATGTGATTCCGCCCCCTCTCCAGGGTTCCCTCCCCTGCCCCCCAGCGAGGTATTGCCCTTTTATCAAAGAGCAAGGCCTCTCTGCTTTATTGGTGCAGAAGTGGCCTATCTTCAGATGGAACTGAAAAGGGAATGTTTTATATGCCCTTATTTGGCAAAAGAAAATATACTTTTCCCTGATTTGCTCACCCTCCCACCCTCCAGTTTCTTTGGATGACTTTAGAGCGCTGTGAAATCCCCCAAGCCCGGGAACCACTACCCTGAGGCATCCTGGCTCCAAGCCTCACCCCACTGGGATGAGCGAGGGGGGGGGGGCGGTCAAGAAGGGATAAAAAAAGAGCTTGAGGCCTGGGAGGGCAGGGGTAGAGGGGCTGAGTCTCCGCCTCCGTCTCCACAGAAGTCTAAAAGTGCAGGCATAGTGGGATCAAGAGACCTAGAGGGGTCAGTATGGCTTGGGATGGTGGGCGGGGGAGGAATTCACCTGGGTGTGGAAAGCCCCCACGGTTTGGAGAGCTAACCCAGCCTGGGCTACATAGTGAGATTCTATGTATTTTATTCTAAATAAAAATAAATAATACGAACATAAAGAAGGCAGGTGTTATCTCCCAGCAGAAGCCCCTTGCCCAGACAGCACTGAGTCTGCGATCATCACCTCACAGATGATAATAGTGTGCTGGCATCCTTAGGAGCCTCTCGCACATCATCACACTTATCATCACTAAACCCTGGGACATGGGGACAATAGTCCCCATTTCGCTAATGAGTGACTAAAGCTCAGAGAGGTTGTGTGAGTCACCCAAGGTGTCACAGCTTCAAAATGAGGGTGCTGAGCTGAGCTTCCAGCCTCTGGGGATCAGACCCAGACCCAGTACCTAACTGCCACACTCATATCTTTGTCACATCCCTGAAATCCCTAAATCCCTAAGGGCCTTTTTTTTTCTTTTAACCAGGCTGGCCTCAAGCCCAGAAATTAGCTACGTGGCACTGGCAAACAAAATGCTGGGGATCCTGGTTTTTTTTTGGGGGGGTGATTCCTATTTCATGGAGGGACAGTGGAGAACCAGAGGTCTGGGGATGTGGCTCGGTTGACAGGGTGCTTGTCTAGCACGTGCGAAGCACTGGGCTTGATGCCGTGTAAACCGAAGCTGGTGGTTCATGCCTGTGAGTCCAGCACTCGGCAGATACAGGCAGGAGGCAGATGTAGAATCAGAAGTTTATGGTCCGTCAGGGGCATGGGACCCTGTCTCAAAGGGGTGAGGAGCTCTCACAGAATGGTGTGTCTCAGTGGCGAAGCCCTTTGGTGGCTACTCCCCTGGAAGTTCCCAGAGAGCTGGGGTTGCAGACCAGCTATGGGGGAGATCCAGGTTTTCTGTGGCCAAGCCACAGGTGGTAACTTCATCATTATGCAAATGACCAGGTGAACTCGATGGTCCTCAGAGGCCGGAGAAAGACACCCCCCCCCCCCAGGCTTTACAGTTGGAGGGAGGAAGCTCCTGGGTTTCTGCCCTGTGGGACTCTGGGCAAATCACTGGCCCCAGAGCTTGAGCATCCTCACGGGTGGAAGGGTGGACGATCTGGGCCTGCCTCTCCCTCATGCTAGCATGAGGTTGGGTGAATCACTGTCTCCTAGTAAAGAGCTCAGCACAAAGCCTGGCACATTCCAAGGCTCTAATAAATGGGTGCTCCCGAGCTCGCTATTTTTCGGAAGTTGTTAGGCTAATTGTCTCTTCATGTAATGCCATGTAAATCATCTGACTGTTCTCATGGCCTGAGCCCACTTAATCATAGCTAAGTCTGAAAATACACATTTCCTCTCCTTTCCTTTCAAGTTCCTTTAACATGAAAGGCCCTCGTGAACTCTGTGACCTTTTCTAACAGGGAGATCCTTGAAATGTGGCATTTCCAGCAAATGGCTCAAAGGCACCCCAGATGGATTGAGTAAATTACAGCAGGGAGAGAGACTCAGGAGCAACAGAGAGCAGCCGTCTTCCTGCCTGCCAGCCCACTTGCCGTCCTGTCGGGACTTGTCAGGAGCCACCTGAAGGGTGACTGCAGGCCCTAGTCAGGTTCGCTCCCTATAGGGGAACTTCTCTCAGGGCAGAGCTGGACACAGTCCCTGAGGCAGACTGCGGGTTATTCCTAGAAACTGTATAGTCTCTCTCTCTCCCTGTATGTGTAAGGGAGGGTGTGTGTGCCACACACAATAACAATGGTACAGTGGCATGATGCAGCTGCCTAGAAACACACACACACACACACACACACACACACACACACACACACACACGAAAGCTGGCTTGATAAAATCCTTGCACATGGGAAGCTGACACAGCAGGATGGCTAGTTCAGGACCAGCATGAGCTACATAGTGAGTTTAAGTATAGGACAAGAAACCTACCAAGAAACCCGGTCTTTAAAAAGCTCAAAAACCAGCCAGATGGTGGTGGTGCATACCTTTGATCCCAGCCCTCAGGAGGCAGAGGCAGGCAGATCTCTATGAACCCAGACATGTCTACAGAGCAAGTTCCAGGACAGATATGGCTACACAGAGAAACCCTGTCTTGCAAAATTAAACAACAAAAATCAAAACCGACCAACCTAAATAATAAAGCTGTTTTAGCTAGGTAATTTTTACTGATGAAACCCTAAGACACTTTGCCTAAGATGGGAGGATTAAGGAGTCTGCCCTACAGATTCAGAGGGTCTATTTACCACTATTTCCCACAGGCCAAATTCCTTACTGGATTCCTAATAAATGGACCTGAAGTTCACTCATCAGAAGGGATGATCTGGGTCAGAGACAGCAAGGTGAGCCTGGCGTGTCTGCCAAGCCCCTGTCACTTAAGAACTGGATAGGCTCAGGCCTGTGCCTGGGTCCCCAATCTATCAGGGGCTTGTCAAGCAAATTCAAGTCACTCCTCTGTTTTCTGGACCCAGAATTGTCCAAAAGCTGCAGGTATCCCTTACATGGTTTCAGGAGAACAATGAGGGGTACACAGCCATTAACCCCAGAGCTGAAAGTCAAGAAGCATACAGGAAAGGGGTATGTCGAGTCTCTGCCTGGATGTAGGGCTGCCTGTAACTTCAAGAGAGACGTGCCTGCATCAATACTGGTTTGGGCTGCCCAGGCCCCTGAAGTAGGGAAGTCTCATGAGCCAAGGGAAATCATTAGATATTTGTCAGACAGTCTGTTTGGTGGGGACAATACTCTCCTATGTAACCCACACAGACTTAGAACTCACTGTAAAGCTAAGGCTGACCAGAAACTTGAATTCTTCCTATCCCATCCTCCAAAAGCCTAGGTGTGAACCATCAGTCCAGCTTTAGAGCTTTCTTTTCTTTCTTTCTTTCTTTCTTTCTTTCTTTCTTTCTTTC